AGGCCAGGAGGTAGGGGGACATCAGCTCCCCCATGGGCTCGGTCTGGGTGGAGGCCTCAGACCAGCCCCGGTTAGCCTTGTCCCCCTGGGGAGAGGCCCTAGCAGCACTCCTCGTAGACACCATTCTAAGCTGCTGTTTGTAGATCTGTCTGGTGTCTACGCCCTACCCGTACAGAAGTCTCTCTCTTGACCATTCCTGCCCGCCCGCTGGCGCGAACGCCTGCGCAAACGCTGGCGCGCTCTGTTCACGCTGCGCGGCTCGGAAGCGCGGCTCCCTACCGGCTCAGCTATATGGGACCCAACTTGCCAACCCAGTTGTCACTGCTGCTCTCGGGTTGGGCTCAGCCCAGAGAAGAGCAGCAACCTGGCAGTGGTGGAGGTGTGGGCTGAACAGGGAGGATTAACCCTTCCATGCCTCCTCCCTGGGACAGACAGCACAGCTACAAGTTAGCAGGGAGGGGGAATGGGGGGAGCAGGAGGAGAACTCCAGGAGTGAGGGGGAACTGGGGAAGCCTTGTGAGGCAGGGGTGAAGGCCAGAAGTGTGGGAGATTCTTACCTTTCAGTCCTCCAGGCCCCTGGTCTGAATGTGTGACTGCTCTAAATTTGAGCTAGCACTATCAACCATCAACATTTGAGCAGCTCAGAGTGTAACAGGTAACAAGGCCTTTAAATGGGGGTTACACTAAAATGAATAATGCAATTTTACATAAAGTAGTTATCACTAGTGTCCAACAATTCTGGTGATAAAATGTTAACATAAGATATTACAGCAGGCTTGTTCACAGTTTATATATGGTTGCTATCTGCCATGCTATGAAGTATTGTGAGACTGACAGGATCACTTTACCATATTCCTTTGAAAAAGAAAAAGGCAGAATAAAGATTTTTTTGTATAAATTAGCATTACTAAGACATTGACAATGCACGATGCTTCCATCTGCTTTAAATGTTCAGGTTGGAAAGCTGCCATTTAAAATGACAGCAGATGTCCCAGCTGACAGAAAAGAATACTTTAAACTGATGAATTATGCCACATACTATTATTATATTAACCAGCATAAAATGGCATCATTTTTAAAATCAGACATTCACAGATACAGGTGCCTCTTCAGACAAAGACTCATTTCATGAGTCAGAGAGAAATGTTTACTCACAAGAGGGTAGGATTTCATTGATAGCTTGATAAACTGGTACAAACATAAGAATCTGGGCCATCATTTCCCCTTCTTCCCCCTCATTTTTCCCATGGTTTCTAATACTCTGTAATGAATGTAGATTCATGACTGGATTTGATTTCATTTTGTTTTTTTCCAGACAAGTTAAAAAGGATCTTTCTTTCTGCATTAATGTAGATGTCCTACTGTGTACGTTCAGACCTTGTTTCTGTACCTTATTTTAGACTTGTATTTATCTCCACCTTACAAAGTTTTGACTTGATCTTTCTGTATTGCTATTAAATATTTCCCTCAAATACGTAAGCAGGAAAATAAAGTGCTTTATTGTATATCTGTATCCAATAGCATGTTGAGTTCTGATTTGGCCTTAATTTAGGGAAATCTTCAAGGAGGTGTTAAATGTAAGCAGGTATTAAAATCCAATTTGTTATATGTTAGAGGCATTTCACAAAATTGGGGTGCACCGTATCCCCTATATGAAATATAATTGTGTTACAATACGTTTGCATACTACATTTCTGAAGATAACGGGCACTCTTTTGGGTAACCATGGAAAGGGGAATCTTATTTGTTTTCCTATTCTTAATCATAGCACTTGATTGAGCTTTTACTTCCTGAAAACAGAATAAATACACCTGAACGTGGACATACCTATAAGGCTCAAGTTGAGCATAAACAGTATATGACTTGTATTGAAAATTATGGCTAATAGCTAGTCTCAAAAGAAACTCTTCTCTCACAGATATCTTCTTATTGACCTTTTTGGGAATAGCTTATCACCCAAGAAAGGCCTTCCATTGAAGTCAATGATATCATTTGTATCTGAAACTGTAAATAGGTCAGCAGG